AGGCTCTGCCGGGGTCGGAGCCGATGGACGCTGATCCCCCCCCGGCCGGCCCTGCCCCGCGGAGCTCGGCCCCTCCGGAGCGCTGGATGAGGAAGAGGTGCTGTGGGAAGCGCAGTACGTAATTCCATGGACCCACACTGCGAGGAGGGAAGGGGTGGCTGAGCTCAGGGGGTGTGACCCCCAAATTGTGGGGCTGTCTGAGTGCTGGGGTTGCAGCGTGTGGGGTCGGGCTCTTTTCGGGGCGTGTTGGGGTTTGGAAGTGTTTGGGAGAGAGCCTGAAGTTCCTGAGGGACTTAATCTAATACTTAAGTTGATAAAGTGATGTGTCCCCCATATGTGAGGGGTCTCCAGAACTCACAGCAGGTCCCTGTGTGGGGCAGCCCTTCCACCTTCCACGATGGTCAGGTTGGACAGGGCTTGGAGCAACCTGGGCTGGTGGAAGGTGTCCCTGCCCATGGCAGGGGTGGGACTGGATGAGATTTAAGGTCCTTTTCCACCCAAACCATTCCAGGATTCTACACACTGGAAGGAACCTCTGAATTGGGCAGAAGTTACTTCAGCTGCTCCAAATAAAGTGTTTTCTGATAGTTTTTTAGTGGCTGAGCTGGAGGTGGAGTTGGTTTGGTCCCACCGGTCCTGTCAGGCTCTGGATTTTGAAATCTTCATTTTTATCAGTTGTTTTTGGATGTGTCAGAGGTGGAAAGATCCTAGAAAACTAGGGACCTTGGATGATTTCAAGATTAGTTGAATAATGATGAGGAGACAAGGAGATGTCAGGTGAAGTGTGCAGCCCTGGACTGCAGGTGGGGGGTGTTGGTGGGCGTGCTTGGGAACGGGAAAACAGGGAGGACTTCAAGTGTCTGTTGTTTTGGAATTTCATGAAACTTGGACAAAGAAATCAAACTAAACCCAAACTACAGCCATCCTCCAACCTTCCCACCTCATTTTCTTACAGGCAGAGTATTTTGAAGGTAGAAATTGCATTTTTAAAGGTGTTTTTACTATATTTGATGCAGTTTCCTGGAAGGTGAATGATCTGGTATTGCTGGTAGAGCCCATAGTCCAGGAGCACGTCCATGGGATGCTGGCTGTGCCATGGGGAGGTGGATTGTCCCCTTCTGGTTCCTCTCATGTTTATCCCAGCCTTTCCATGGCCCCTTGGCCAGTCCTGGGTGTCCCACCCCCCAACTCCACTTCCTACCTGACCCACCTCCTGAGTTTCAGTTGCTCAGCAAGAGGTAACATTGTGATTCCAGTAATTCCTGTGGAAGGCAAGCAAGGAGAAATCTCACCCTGACAGGTGAGCAAAGGGGCAGGTGGCACTTCCCAGGCACCATCTGCTGATCCTGGGACACAGGTAACTCTTGCTTTTGAGCAGAATGAGCTCAATTCAGGGATAATCTGTTGTTAAAAAGGAACTGCAGGACTGCTTTCCAGTTTAGATGAGTAACTGCAGGTGTGACTTAAATATTGGCAGGAGGAGATGGGGGCAACTGGCAGGAGAGATGCAGAGTGTAACAGTTTGGGAACATTATCTTGATGCAGAGAATCTTAGTTTTGCTTAGTTTTGCTTTCTGTGATCCTGTTACTGCAACGGGAGTGCAGCCCAATTGTGTTCAGCCTCCACCGCAATGAAGAAGTTGCTTAAAAGAGCAAAGTAAAGAGCATGTTGGTGGAAAAGCTCTTCCCTAGGGATTTAGACAGACATCCATGGCATTTTCCTGTAGCGGACCAGGGGTGATCACTGAGCAGGGCAGTGCCCTCCCTGTGCTGCCACTGCTGGGGCACCTCCAGCCCTGGGGGCACTTCTGGGCCCCTCAGCCAGGAGAGACACTGAGGGGCTGGAGCGTGTGCAGGGAAGGGAACGGAGCTGGGAAGGGGCTGGAGCAGCAGGAGCAGCTGAGGGAGCTGGGGGGGCTCAGCCTGGAGAAAAGGAGGCTCAGGGGGGACCTTCTGGCTCTGCAACTCCCTGAGAGGAGAGGGGAGCTGGGGGGGGTTCAGGCTCTGCTCCCAGGGAACAGGGACAGGAGGAGAGGGAACTGCCCCAAACTGTGCCAGGGGAGGGTCAGGTTGGACATCAGGAGAAATTTCTTCCTGGAAAGGGTGGTCAGGCCTTGGAAGGGTCTGCCCAGGGGAGGGCTGGAGTCCCCTTCCCTGGAGGGATTTAAAAACCCTGTGGATGTGGCACTTGGGGACGTGGTCAGTGGTGGCCTTGGCAGTGCTGGGGGACGGTTGGACTTGAGGATCTCAGAGGGCTTTTCCAACCTTAATGATTCTCTCATTCCATGGTTTTCAGGGAAAAGGAGTGACTGTAGGAAATGACAACTCTGCTGATCACAGGCCCCCCCAGGAGTTGGGGACTGAGGATATGGGGGTGGTGTGTGTGTGTGTACACTCTGAGGTACAGCCCTCTATGTGGATTGGCTCTGGTCTCAGTGTCAAAACACAGATCCTGCTTCTAGATCTTGGATCTGATATCAGAACTGGAAATGCTCATTTTGAGCCAAATCCCATCAAGGCCCTTCCCCCTCCAATTAAAAATCACATTTCTTGTGGTGTTTGTTTTCCCCTGAAAAGCTGCTGGTTCTCACCCAAACCATCAATATATGCCAGTAATTTCATGAAACCTTTTGTATGCTCATGCATTGGCAGCATTAGTTTTCCTGCCTTGAATGTGCATTGTTAGCTTGATTTTCCTGAATTTGCCCTTTTTCCCCCTGGAATTGCTCACACAGTCCCTGTCTCTATTTAAATATGTATCCACAGAGACTGGTTGTAACTTAAAAGCTGGAATAGGATCCTTGGCTTTTTCCTGTGAAATCCTTGTAGTCCAGCTGAAGTGGGAGAAAATGATCAGATATAAATTATTAATCCTTGTGGATTCGTGGCAGCATCCCAGGGATCCCCAATTCCCGCTCCATGCTGCGGGTCCCGCTGCACACCCGGAGCAGCTGCTGAGATCAGAGTGAATTGTGATTTTATGCCGCATTTTTCCTCTGGAATTACTCATTCCCCTGACACTGGGAAAATACTAAAGGCTGGGAAAATCCAATCCTTCCACAATAGAGGGGGGAGAAAATGGGCCTCAGGAGGGCAGGGGTTGGAGGAACCTCCGAGGGTTTGGTACAGAACTCTTGGGATGTGAAACGCAGCAGAGCGAGTAAAATGGATAATGGAGTTTCTGATAGAAAGGGAGGAATTCTGATACTTATTTTAAGCAAATGTCCTAAAAATAACCTCCAGCAGCATTTAAAGGGACAAGCTTCCAAATATCATCCTCCCTCCCCGAAAAACCAGCATCCCTTTGGTTTTGGGGCTGAATATCCCACAGCACCGCTGCGGAACCGGCCCCAGCTGAACCTCCCCTGGGCAGCGCTGCTGGTGCCCTTCTTCTCCCCCTTTTTTTTTGGCAGGATGAGGCCGGTTTCTGGCAGGGATGGAGTTAAGGCTGCTCCGTGGTGCATGCTGGTACGAGGGGGTTTGATGGTGGTGCTCTGCTACCAGCATGTGTCGGGAATGTCTGATGGGAAATGTGGAACTGTAAGTGCAGCGCTGCTGCTGCTGAATAAGGACATTTCCCTCTGCCTTCGTTTCTTGCCTCCTGTGTATTTTTTTCTCTCCATCCTAAAGCTCCCAGCCATGTAGCACCTCGGCCAGAGCGATCCCGCTGTGGGGATGAAGGGTAGGGGCTGCTGGGAGACAGGATCCATCCGTTCCTTCTGCAACGCCGGCTGTCTGAATAAATTCCACAAGGGTTAGTGGCCTTCCCGGCGTCCTCCTTCCTGCTGGACGGATCCACCCGGTGTGGGGCTTCCTGGGTGCGCTGGGAGTGACGGAGGGGCTGCTCCAGCGGGGTGGGGAGGGGGTGTTTAACCCCACACCGGAGCCCTGGGAGACAGAGGAATGTTCAGACTCCTCCGCGTGGGTGTGTGGTGGCACGTGTGGATCTGCCCCGCAGGCGCCACGTGCCACGTCCCCGCTCGGTTTGGCCGGAGGTGTACGA